TATAAAATGAAATACATGGAAGTGAAATGCTATCGACCAACATCCATCATTCTCCGATGACAAGTCCAGCTAGAGATGCCTTACAATAGCAACAAGCTCCAAGCTCAAAGATGCATCATATTACAACAAACAAACAAAGCCTTCCCATTAGATTTGGGGTTGATAACTGAATCATTTTTCTCCACTCCCTTCAGTTCATCGTTAGACCAACTAGACGTTCAACACAATGAAATCCTAATTTATTTCAAAGACACTTTCAAAGTTACGTTTTACTGACACCAGTAAGAGTGACATAACAAGGTACAAAACAAAAAGTAACGCTAGCATAAAAAAACAAGGTAAACATAAAAAATAAAATTAACACTAAATATTTGGGGTTGGCAACTGAATAATTTTTCTCCACTCCCTTTAGTTCATCCTAGACCAACTAAAAGTTCAAAATAATTTAATCCTAATTTATTCAAATGACACTTCCAAAATTTTGTTACAACTCTAAGAGTGACATAACGAGGTAAACAAAAAAACAAGTAACACTTGCATACGCTACCCTGCAGTATTCTAATTGGCAGCATCAACATTCTGCACCGCAACTGAAACCCCATTGCTTGAACTTGCCCGAACACTCACCACCCATAAGCAGATGGGAAGGCACATAAAGTAAAAGCAGATGGGAAGGCATATAAAGTAAAAGACCCTAAAATTCATAGACCAGTTGAATGCAAAACTCGATATCCACAGGTTTACTCAAGATTTACATCCCGGACAAAATGATCTTTCTAGTCAGTACTACAAGGCATTTCAGTCTGTTACCAATATCCACGAATACATCTTCAAATTCACCTCCGGATTGGCATATGGCTATGATTTTCTTAGTTTCCATGAGCAAAGGACAAATGGATACGGTAAAACTTATGCAGATAGATTGGATCAAATATAAGTGGAGCCCAGGACAAGTCAAGCAACAATTAATTATGGGAAAGTGCCTCTAAAAATCAAACCTACATTCACAGATTAAAGCCAAAAAATGAATATATATTTAGAAACACGACCAATCTTCTAAACTTACCAGAACCCTAAGTGTAAAATAATCGGGAGATTTTTCAATTTAGCCTGGATGACTAAGCCCTTTGAATTTTTAATTGAAAAGTCTATATTATCCTTAATGATATGAATTTTTATAAATTGCATAATATATCCTCCAAAGGTATAAACATTAGTCTTTATCTTATATTTCTAATTATAATATATAGTTCCATTCTATGATCTAACAAATTAGAGTAATCCGTAACATATTTATCATGTTCTTTGTCTAGTTTCTCATATTCTTCGGATAACATATCCATATTTTCCTTTTGATTTTTTCTAACATCATGTCTAAATTATCTAATCCTTTTATAGTATATATCACCAACTCAT